CAGCAACAACAACATCAACAACAGCAACAACAACAGCAGCAGCAACAACAATAGCAAAAGCAGCAACTATAGTATCTATAACAAAACCTAGAAGTCTTCACAAACTACGGAATAAAAAAGACTATTTAGTAGCAATGATGTTTATACCTGAATGTGCTTGTAGATCTGAGTACAGGCTTTAGAGAGAGCAGAACTTATACTCTTGGTATTCTTGGAGCTCTCAACCTCAAAATAACTGACAATGTAATACAAATCTAAATTAGAAATTATTAACGAATGTATTCCAGTGACAGATTAGTATCCCCCCCCAGGTGGAGTGTTATTCCTTGTCATGTGACAGAATATCAGCATAGCTTTCCTCAGTCGATCTTCTCAATTTCAATTATGGCAGAGCAGAACAGACCTAATTTGTACAAAATTTTGTTCATGGACTCAGTTTGTTAAGGAAACATAATTTTCTTTTTTGACTTACCTTTCTYGTGTTGTTTTGGTGAAAAGATCTATACAATGAGACACCAGAAAACAGCTCTGCTGAAGACTGAATATGTTGTTAAGTAAAGTTTCGACTTTAACTTAAAAACTTTTGAAATAAGCAGGAGAAAGAATCTTGTGGCAATGGAAGAGGGCACATCAAACAAACTCAACTCATATATTTTAGTTCAGTCAAGAATYGATCTAACTCGAACTTCTCAAACTTGAGGAATGATAGACAGTGTCATAGCAGTGCATGACACCCTTAGATGTACCTAGACTACCAACAGAACRACAAGTCACTTCTACCATTTTTATTTTAACCTCTTCAAGTGGAAATCCAATTCACCTTTTCTCATTTCTGACCAATTGCCATTCTCTTGTGAATAAGATTCTTTGTTTGTGTTATYGTAGATTGATAAGTTTTACACCGTAGTGAAAATAGGAACTGACGTTTCGGACGTTAGTCCTTCGTCGGAGTCAGTTCCTATTTTCACTACGGTGTAAAACTTATCAATCTACTATAACTGTTTCATTAGAAACACCGACGCAGTCCACGCTAGTGTTTACTAGCCATCATCTACTCTTTGTTTGTGTGGTAACATATTCATGTGTCTTCTCATTCACAACCGTTAAACAAAGAAATAATACTCAAGGGAATGAAATATGGTCTAAAATCAAAAACATTAAGCCAAAACTAAAAACATCTATTTCTTGATGAAAAAAAATTAATGTTAATGAACAATAATAATTCTCACTAGATATTCATGGTAGGTTATGAAGGATACGTCTCGACATTYTGCAGACTCACAGGGTCAGCATCAAAAGACGACTGGTACAACCTGCTGTACTTTTCTCCCAACTGACGAAACAATTTACTGCATTCTGCAATCTAAACATTCCAAAAATGTGGGGAAAAAAAAGAATTAAAAGTTTAAAAGCTTTCAAAAAAAAGCTTTTTCTACCAAAAGTGAACCAAGTAGCAGTACCTGAGCTGCAAAGTGACTTAAAGTGTGCACATCCTGTCCAGTTGTCATKGCAACAGCTGTTGCTATGGCTGGTGGTGGGCAGGACTTCATGCTTGCACATGCCGCAAGTAATAAACTGTGTGCTTGGAGCAGGTCAGACCTTAGCTTGGAATATGTGATCTGGAATGTCAGTTCATGGGAGGGGGTCACTGCTGCCTGGAAATAGTCATCACCAGCAAAATAAGTAAGTAAAACTATGATAATACACAGTGTAAATCAAGTTAAAAAACTAACTGTACTGGAATTTCAGAGGTTAGTCCTATGTCAAAGTGATATAATACAGTAAAATAACACAGCCAGTCATCAGACAATGTCCAGCCAGAATTGAAACTCRTCAAGTCAAATTTTTGCCTCACATTTCATTTTGACCAGTAAAGCTGAGCCAGAAACAAGGTATGACAGAGCGACTGGCTGGCTATTATTTTAAGTTGTCCAGATATGAAGTACCTATAGCAAAGGTTTTAGTTCCATTTAGGGGTCTAATATCTGGATAAAGGGATGCCTGGCCATGCTTTATTCCTGGATTTTAATCATGATTATTACTGTTTCAAATACTTGTTACTCACCTTGAGTGCAATGAGTCCCATATTATACTGGCTACATGCCTTAGTGATGTTCTCTGCAAGCAATAGCTGGGTACTGCACAGTTTGTTTRACAGACTCTCAGCTTCACAAAAACATTTGAGGGCATTTAACCAAAAGTAAAAATGTTCTGATGCAACCTGGAATAAAACAAGAACAGCTTGAAAAACTTGTTCTAAATTCTATTTCTATCTGTAAGTTGGCAGTGCCATAACTTAGATCAGGCCAGAGGTTGTTTTAGGGTTCCATCTGTGAGTTAGTCCTGCCCTGACTTAGATCAGCCCAAGGCTGTTTGAGGGTTCAATCTGTGAGTTAGCCATCTCACCTTTGATGATAAGGAACCAAATATCTTGGCAGCAAGTTGGTGGAATCCCTGGGGRAAAAAATCAATCAATGACATTTTAACAAACAGACTATGATATGGAGAAAATAAAATAACAATGCAAACTGTCAAAATGGTGAACAAAAAACTGGAATATTAAAAAGCAGACTTTAAAGTAACTAAAGCAAACTTCCTGTCAAACCTGTCTGGTAGCTTGTCGTGCAATCCTGTACATGACCCAATGTCTGGATGATAATATCATTTTGCTGGTTTCTTCCAGGACTAGCTCCTCTACTTCACTTTGTAACTTTTCCAAACTCTCATCAACGGAGAAACACTGGTGGGACTGAAATATAAGAGTAGCCATGGCTACCTGCAGTAAAGAGAAAAGAAACTAATCAATACACAGCAACTCACAAAGATGAAGGYCAGTAATGTATTTACCAGTAGAGTGTCACTTGTTTCTCTTTGCTCTTTGTCTAAAGATAGACTATTGTCCTGCGTTACCATTGACTTAAAGAATGTGACAATCTCTGACCTCAGGTGCGCAAGGACAGATGGTACTTGTGTCGCCATGGTAACCAATGCATGACACATCTCCAAGGCAACAGATTCTATGTTCAAACGAAGGAGAAAGCGTTTCAAAAATTTCCTTACTGCGATTTTCGATATTCTGCAARCTCGGTAGATAGAAGCTACATGCTGAAATTTGCTTTTCTGCTGCCATCAATCAAGAATAATCAGTCAGTACCTTTTATGTTCTTAATTGGTGACAGCGAAAAACTAATTTTACAACAAGCTGGTTGAATGTCTGAGTTCGCAGAATATAGAAAACTGCAGTACAGTTTATACTGGGTTAACGATGGTAGGGGATGATGACTCTAACCTTGGACAGTGGGAAGTAATGCTACGAGGCTGTCAACCAACTGTGAAGATGAGTCAGGATGTGAACTGATCAGATGATTCATTGATGATAGGCAAACCTAATTGAACAACATTATATAAAGCTGTTAGTTAGTATCACCTTTCCATCTCCCTTAGCACCCCTCCTTTCTTGTTTATTGTTCAACCAATTCACTCRGCTAAAAACTCAGCTTACTTGCTCATTTTCTTATCTTATTTTTCTTATTCTCTTTTATTCAGTTGGAGGGTTTGTCTGTCTGCCAAGTCTATACATCCATCCATTCAATMAATGGACCCTTCTTAAAATTGTCTTGAATTCATATAAGGTTAACATGAAAAGATATGCCACAAATTCCCTCATGAAAAAGTGTGATTTCTTTTGTATTTCTATGTTAGTCTTGTATCTACAATACTTTTGAGAAGGGTCTATTGCCACTCTCTAATACACACTAATAAAAACACCTAACTAAAGACATACCTTCAGAGGTTGAATCTGGTCATCAGAGCAACAAATGATAGAAGTGGCTTCCAYGGCAAGAGCTGCTTGGGCACACAGACCAACATCAGCATAATCTGTTAGTACAACAACATCAAAATAGAATCAGATCAATATGATAGCTCAATTTCCTTGCAATGTTAACTAACCTTTTTTGAACTTGGCCACAGCAATATGTACCAACAGCTGACAGCTGACGGCAGACACAGACATGTTGGGAGAACTGCACTCTTGATCACACACCTGGAGTACTATAAAGTTATAATAAAGTTTGTCAATAAACCACATTACCTTGGGTGTAACTATTTTTCCTTTTTTCAGGCCACATGTCATTCCCTTGAGAATAAGATTCTCTGCGTTGTATCCATATTCATGTGTCTTCTAATTCACTTTCWTTAAACAAAGAAATGATACTCTAGGGAATGAGATRCTCTGGAATGGAGAATTATTATACCCAAGCTTAAAAGAGCAATTAAGTGAAAGTAAGACTGATAAAGATAATGCTATAATGAAACTATAATCATATYATTGTCATTGATAAGTATTATTCATTTACCAAGGTCCATGTTAAATTGGTCCACGGCAATGGTTGTAGATAATGTTACTAATATTCTTAACCCATTTAACTTCAGTTCATCGTAGCTGCATTCAAGTAGAAAATTACACAGCTCCTGAAACAACAAYAAAGGAAAATAATCTTAACCAACAAGTAATATTATTTTACAAATACTGTTTTTGACTCTTGTGTAATGTGTCAGGCACAAAGCTCTCAAATGATCTTTTTYACGTAAAGTTTTTGGTTCTGAGTTTATACCTTGACATGTTTGGTTTGCCACATATGCGGGGCTTCGTCAGCCAACATCTTCAGATCTGACAGAGCTTGATACTTRATAATCTTGCGAGGATCATTCTTTAAGTAAGACAAGAGCAGCTCAACCTAAATCAAGAAATCATYATATTATTATATTTAGTAAATACCTCTTAGGCCATTTCTGTTGGCTGGTCACATTCATTGGTCATGATTTGATCTGTCAAATGTGGTCAGTAATTATATTTAAGGAGGCAGATCTAGGAAAGTGGTAGAGGGGGCATGCACCCCTCCCCTCCCCCTCCCTTCCYTTCCCCTCCTCCCAAGATGAGCTGATATCTACTGGGCTATTGTTGCTTGAGTTTGTGGGCGTCCTGATTATAAATGCTGCACCTCTTCTAAACAAACCTGGTTCCCTGGCCCCTAACGTCTGGTCATTAAGCAGCAATTATTTTTTGCTCTGTTCTTCTTACCTGTTCAGTTATGTTGCTGACACTAGCTGCCGCAAGACTGGACAAGGTGTGGAGAGTCACCAGGACAAACTTACAAGATGGATGAGATTCAAGAAGCTTCAAGCATACGCCTCTTGCCTGCAGGTATTTTAAATTAAATAATAAGATCATAAAGAAAAAGTAAAGACAATAAGAAGAGATAAA